CTCAGGCTGTTGGACCTTGCTAAATGTTACATATTACAATCTTTTTTCAGCCTGGCTAAGTTAGTAGCACTTTCCTCTCTGAATCTCAAATGCTCAAGCGATGGGTGGAATTTTTGAACACAGGCTACGTTGATACTCCAGTGCAGTGCTGGAGGACAACAACAACAACAACCGCAAAATGACATTTATAGAGCACCCTTCATGTCAGGAGGCGCTGAAGATTCATTCTTGGGGATGAGAAGTTTAAACATGATCCCGTCTGCCTGATCAGAAGAACATTAAGTATCCGATCAGCTATTCAAAAACAGAAGAGAGTTCCTCTCGTGGCTAGGTTTTCCTGGCCAACAGCTCGCCAGATAAATTTGGCCATTCACTTCATGACTGATTGTGGTTGAGAATGTTCTCCCAACTTGAAAGGCGCTCTATCAAACGTTAGGATTATTGTTATATACACGTGTGCTTTTATTTGATGTTTCTCAGGATTCACAGTAAACTGTAGTGACTGTGTATTTGTACACAGGCACGGCAGCCAATTTGCATTCCGCAATGTACCACAAAGTCGTGCAGTAAATAACTGATTTTATTTGGAGTGAGTGTTGGCCAAGAAGCCAGAGAAACTCCCTTCTCTTTTCTTTTCTTCTTGTTGTGTGAACTGAACAGGGAGACAGGATCAGCACCCCGGCAATGCAGCATTCCCCCAGCAGGTGATATGTGTTCCCTAACTATAAACCAGACAATGTCCTGAAGTTGGGCTTGAACCCACAATATCCTGACTCAGGCGAGAGTGCTACCAATTGAACCAGGATGAAGCATTGAAGATCTTAAAATCGTGGACAAAGTGAACATGAAGATCTGTATAACATAGTCAGCAACTCTACGATAGGCAGACACTGATTCAGAGAAATGATGAACAGACAGTTTCCAATTAATTACTGCAACCAGAGAGTGGTGAATGTGCTGACTGCATTGCCCAAAGGAGGGAACGAGGCCACGTTGTGGCAGAAAACCCAAGAGGGCAGCTATTTGGCAAAGAAATTGGATGAAGGAGTTGAGAGTTCAAACCGTGTGTTGCACTTTTTATGTTGCATCTTAGAACCGTAGACTACAAGTTGTACACAGAAAGTGGGCTTTTGACTCATCAGATTTGCACAGGTCTTTGCTCATTCATTTAAGACACCCATTCTAAATCCAATCCCTACTCTTTCCCCATACCCTCCAGTGCCTTTTATCTATATGTGGTTATCTAATTCTTCTTTAAATCCTCACCATTGACCCTCGTCCCCTCTGCTCCACCATCGGTGGCCGTGCCTTCAGTCACTATGCTCCGAAACGCTGGAGCTCTCTCCCGCAATCTCTCTGCCTTGTCCCTTCCTGCCCCACTTTCACATTATGCCTAAAGACCTTCATTTTTGATCATTCTTCCAGTCACCTCTCCCTGCCTCTCCCCCTGACTCGCGGTCAGACTCTGTCACTGTGAAGCGCTCCAAGTTGCTACCCTGCATGAAGGGCGCTACATAAATGTAAATGTTGTTGTTACAAAACTACACCAAATTCTGAAGCTGACAACCCTCTGCGGGGAATATTTTTCCTAATTATTCACGTTTCTATTTTAAAACGGTGCCAAATCCATGTGACCTTACATCACGCGATGAACCTGTTGGTTGATTAAGCAACTTTAGCTTAGATAATTGTCCCCACAGAGATTTCCCCGCGGTATAAATGAAGTTTTCAATGTATCTGCCAGTCACAGCAGCAAGTTATCTTCACGTCCTGATCGCGTATTGACATACCATGCAATACCCCTATAACCTGGTTCATGTACCAACAATATCTGAGATTGAAGTCGTTTACTATCCGATGCTTGGAGCTGTTGGGATTTCCGGTACGTTGCTTTTAAAATCTCTCTGTAATATTGTATTACAGTTTAAGAGTGTTATCCATTATTATTTTTATTTATCATTGTTTGCATTATCTGTTGCACAACCACCTATTTTGTACTGCTCTCCCTTTACTCACTTGCATTACATTCTGCTGTCCAGATTATCACTCTCACCTGAGTCAGTAGGTTATGGGTTCACGATGGTGGGTTCCAGTGTTGGTACTTGGAACTCATATAGTTTAAGCTGATGCTCCAGTGCAGCAGTGGGGGAGAACGGGGTGGGAGTTTGGGTCTGCATTGTCAGTGGTGCCATCCTTCAGATGAGACGTTAAACCAAGGTCCCGTCTGCCTGTTCAGGGCGACGCTAAAGATCATGTAACTATTTGAAAAAAGAAGGGAGTTTAATAATAAAAATAATCCTTGCATTTGATATAGCGCCTTATCACTTATTTGAGACATCAGAATATAGGCGTGTCTAAACAGAGGTGTGTGGAGTAAGGAAACTTGCCCAACACTTCACCCTGCCGGGAATCCAGCCCAGATCTCTCGCTCGAGTGCTCTAACCACTGAGCTGTAGTTACTCTCCCGGTGGCCTGACAAACAATCCCAATAAAATAGGTCACTCACTCCATGGCTGCTTGTGGGACATTGCTGTGTACATATTGGCTGTGATGTTCACCCACAAAAACAGTCTCCACAATTTGCTGTGTATCCTGTGAAGCACTTTGGGATATCCTCCTGACATGAAAGGTCCTCCTGACATGAAAGGTTCTGTACCAAATTTAAGGATTATATCAATTGGGCTTACACTGAGGTACCACTCACATCTCTGATCCTGAAGATTGTGGGTCCAAACACCATGACAGGACGGGAGTTAATAGTTCAGGCAGACACTCTGTTGCATTACTCGGGGAGCATTGGAAGTGCCGTCCTTTGGATAACATAAGACCGAGATCTGATCTGCCTCTTCCTCAGGTGGGCATTGAGAACAACATCAACAACTTGCATTGATAAGGTCCTTCATGTGGGGTAGCAACTTGGAGACTTAACAAGGGCAGATCCCGGTGCTGAGCTGTGGATTGGTGGGAAATGAGCATAGGTACAGTCAAAGAGGAAGATCTTCAAGTGTGATCTGAAGTTGGGAAGAAGGAGGCAAGCCTGAGAGATTGTGGATTGTGGAGTCCTGTAGCATATTAGTTAGAGCACTCACCTCGCAAACTAGAGGACTAAGGTTTTATACCGGGGCAGGGCGAAACGTTAGTCAAGTTTTCTTACTCCACACGCCTCTGTTTACCCAACAGTAAGTAGCAACCCAGTTGTTAGTTGATTGTCAGATTACTTTCTAGGGTTAATAATCCCTTCAGAAAAAGTAATTTGGTCATTCAATCCACAACTGTCTGTGGGACACTGCTGTGTGGAATTGGCTGCCATGTTTTGCCCACAAAATATACAGTCAATTAACTTTACAGTATATTCTATTAGGCGATTTGAAATGTCTCAATAACGTGATAAGAGCTGTATCAAATGCAATGATTATTAAAATTATATTTATATATTAAAGAAGAGTTCCATATTTTGGGGGCGTAATGGCTGAAAGCCTGGCTGCCAATGGTTGGAGTGGAGGGGATGAGGGACAAGCAGGAGGTTGGGGCCAGCTGAGCGGAGGCGTTGGGTGGAGCAGTGGGGGTGAGGAGGTATAATATGACACCAGGAAAGGAAAGGGAGTTTCTCCTTGTATCCTGGACAAGAACCTCTCAAATAATATTGACCATTCAATTAATTTGTGCAACCTTGCTCTGCAAATTAGCTGTGCGTACAAATTCTCTACGACAAAGTGCATTTCGGGCAGAATCCATAAATTACTGTCCTTTAATTGATTTTGAAAGATGAACTGTTATCATCACTCATCTTAAAGAATATTCTGCATACAACCCTACATTGTATTTGTGTTTGAACCAGAATATTACGTGAGTGAATTATAATCCTTCTACTTGATGTGAAGCAGTGGAGTCCTGTCGCGTAGTGGTTAGAGGGTTCGCCTCACAAGCGAGAAGACCTGAGTTCAATTGCCGGGCAGGGCGAAATGTTGGGTTTCTTTACTTCGCATGCCTGTTTACCTAGCAGTAATTAGGAACCCAGTTCTTAGTCGATTGGCGGATTGCTTTTCCGGGCGTAATAAATCCTTCAAAAAAAATAACAATTTGATCACTCAACCCACGACTGTTTGTGGTGCGCAAATGGCTGCTGTATTTCGCCCACAAAATATATAATCAATTCACTTTACAGTATATCTGTAAAGTGCTTTGAGACATCGCAAGGATAATTATTATAAACAGCAAAATGTCTCAGTTGCTGAAATGTTAGTTTTGACTGTATTTGTATTTATCAAAAGTGGCACCGAATTTGGGGCTCAATGACATTCCACAAACAGCTATGAAGTCAATACCTATACATCTGGAGGATTATTGGCCAGGACACAAGGAGGAAATCTCCTCAGCTCTCGAATAGCCTCTTACGATCTTTCACATTCACCTGAACAGGGACAGCATCTCTGTTTCACACTCCAATAGTTACCCCATATACTCACTCCTCAAGCCTTGGCTCCTGCCAACCTGCGCCTAATACTCTACAGGATTAGGTGAGGAGATTGGGTCCCTTCAGGTAGAGAATGCACATTCCATTCCAACAATCTATCCCTGGGATTTCCATGTGCAGGTGGGGATCTATGCAAATCTGTTTGGTTTGGATACTCTTAAGCATGCTGATGGGTTTCCACAAGTGTCAGACACTCGGGTGAGCAAAAAAAAATTGGAGGGAAGAGGTCTGGAGTTTAGGAAATTATTGGAAGGAGCGAATAACTGGCGCTGGAGCAGATGCTTCAATTGGAAGAGCGAAGCGGAGCGGAGGTGAGGAGAGGAGAGCTGGCGGGGGGTTCCGAGATAAAGAGCGACAAAACCTTGAAGAGGATTCCATGACAGAGTCGGGCATATATCATGTAGCGCTGGTTGACTCGAAGTGATTCCAGTTCCTCCTGTTTCTTACAGTCAATCTCCTGGCCATTGTGATCTTGTCCCAGGGTAAGTGCAGCCTCTCGCGATGTGTGACGTGCTATCTGGTAGCTATGGCGGTGGCAGACCTGCTGGTGGTGGTATCCGATGTGGTGTTAAGATGGGTGATTGTTTATTTCCCCGTGTGCTTCCTGGACATCACTCCTGTGTGCAGCTCGGTGATGGTCACAATCGTGGCCTCCACAGAGTGCTCCGTCTGGCTGACAGTCTTCTTCACCTTCGATCGCTGCGCGACCATTTGTTCCCAGAGGCTAAAGTCCAAGTACTGCACTGAGAAAACAGCGGCTGTGGTGATCGGGACGGTGTGCGTGCTGAGCTGCTTGGAAAGCGTTCCCTGGTACTTTAAGTTTGAGCCCGGCCATGTTATCGACAACGTGCCCTGGTTTTGCGAAACAAAAGCCAGTTACTACACTTCGTCCACGTGGGCAGCGCTGGAGCTCATCCACCGCATCCTCGTGCCTTTGCTGCCCTTCCTCCTGATTCTCGTTTCCAACGCTCTGACCATCCGGCACATCCTGGCCTCCAGCAAAGCCCGCAGGCGGTTCCGGACACACAGCACCGGGGACCGTCAACCAGACCCAGAGGCTGAGAGGCGCAGAAAGTCTATCACTCTGCTGTTCGCCATATCAGGCAGTTTCATCCTTTTGTGGACGCCTTTCCTCTCCTATTTCATTTACCAGCGAGTGGGCTTCATGTCCAATTCCTATCATCCCTCTCCCCTTGCGGCGACGCTGGGCGTGATGCTCCAGCTGCTCAGTTCCTGCACAAACACATGTATCTATGTCGCGACCCAAAGTAAATTCAGAGAAGAGCTTGGGAATTTTTTGAAATATCCTTGCACTCTAATTGTGAAACGCCTTGGACGGCCTCCTGACGTGAAAGGCACCACACGGATGTAATTTGTGCAAAGGCGTCCTTCTGATGAAAGGTTAAACACAGATGCCCTCTGCCTCGCTCAGGTTAAAGATTCCATTAGAGAAGGCCAAGATAATAATAATAATCCTTGCATTGAATACAGCGCCTTATCACGTCTTTGAGACTTCACAGGATATACTGTAAAGTTATTTGACTGTACATTTTGTGGGTGAAAAGCAGCAGCTACTTGCGCACCGCAGTGTCCCACAAACAGCCATGGATTGAGTGACCAATTTATTATTTTTCAAATAAATTGCTATTTTGGGGACTTTGCTGCATCCAAATTGGTCACTTTTTTTTCTGATAAATGCTGATGAGTACACTTCCCTTGAGGAGTTCTGAAGCATTTGGACGTCTATCGCCAAAGGCAGGGTTACATTATTCAGTCTCCTATTACAGACTTTACACACATAAACATTGTTCTTTGAAATCAGCAAATTCTTCCAAAAAGATTTACAATTGATTAAAAAAAAAAGGTACCATATCTGAACTCAATAATGTTTTATCAAATAAATGAATGGCTCCAAAATATTTTTGCAGTCTCATGACATTAATCAGAGAAAGAATTGACAGCTGGAAGGGGTTCCCTTAATGGTGTGATGGTCAGCCCATGGACCTCAAGAGGTGAACCACCAAACATCCACACTGATCTATACAAATGTAATGTTATTGTTGTTGTTGTAAATCCAGTTTTTTTCTTGTTTCAATATTTCTTATGGCATAAATCAGGTCATATTCACTCAAGAACATTTATTTTGTTGGCCGACCAAAAAAGATTGGGCACAACAGACTTACAGACATTGGGACACAATGCAGGACAGCACTCATTTACAAACTATTTTCATATTGTAATGAGAAGACAGTGGTTGTGACGGGTATTCTGGAATTGTGAGGTCCAAATGGCCATTCCTTTGCTCAAGGCAGTTCTGCATATTCTCACTTCAGGACATGGAATCCGATGCTCCAATGCAGCGCATTGTCGGAAGCGCCGTCCTTCAGATGAGATGTTTAACCAAAGTCCCATTTGCCTGTTCAGGTGGACATTAAAAGATCCCATCACTTCAGCTCTCTTAACTCTTCAATCCTCTCCCTACCGCCACCCAACCCATCTCCATTTCCTACTTAGCATGGAAAAAAAAATCTCCCCTTCCCCCCCCTCCCTCTCAGCTGCATTGGAGTCATCTGAACTCCTTCCCCTCTGGGCTTCCTCCCGCAATTACCTATCCTCCTCGGTCACTCTTCTCCACAGCTCCCTCTCCTCCACTCTTGATTTTCTTGCTCCCCTCCCTTTCCAAACCATGGTACACCAGCTACCTCTGTTCCCTTAAAGCACAGGTGCGTGTCGCTGAGCGCACCTGGCTTAAATCTAATTTAACGGTCCATTGGCAGATCTGGCTGGACCATGTCAAATCCTACTGCTCTGCTCTTGCCTCTGCTAAATCGTTGTTCTACTCCAAGACAATCTTGGAGGCTAAGGACAACCCCAGGCTCCTCTTCTCCTTCATGGACCGGTTCCTCCGTCCATCCTTTCATGCCTCGCCCATCCTCACCTCAAATGCCAACTGCGAATCCAAAGTCCAGAAAATTCCATCTGCTACCCCTCCCCATCTCCCTCTCCCCCTCCCACCTTGGCCCTTACCCATCCCTCCCTTCAAAGCTTCAAACCAGTCTCCCACTCCTCTCTCATCACCACCATAACCCACATGAAACCGACCACCTGCTCCCTCGATCCTATCCCTACCCCTCTCCTGACCTCCCAGCTCTACCTCCTGGCCCCTCTACTCACTGACATCATAAACCACTCTCTGTCCTCAGGTACTGTTTGCACCCCATTAAAAACCACCGTTATCTCTCCTATCCTTAAAAAAACCACCCTGGACCCATCTCCACTCAGAAACTACCACCCGATCTCCAACCTCCCTTTCTTGGACCGAGTTGTTGCTTCTCAGCTTTGCTCCTTCCTCTCCCGCCACTATCTTCTCGAACCCCTCCAATCGGGTTTCCGTACCGCTCACAGCACAGAAACAGCCCTGGTCAAAGTGATCCCGATCAGCCCCATCCTCGCCCTACTCCACTGGCTTCCCATCACACAGAGGATACAGTTCAAGATCCTAGTCCTCACCTTCAAAGCCCTCCATAGTCTTGCTCCCCTTTGCGACCTCCTAACCCTCTACCATCCTGCTCGCTCCCTCTGCTCAGTGGGCTCCGGCCTGTTCCACGTTCCCCGCCTCGCTTGTACCACTATTAGTGGGTGGGCCTTCTGCCACTCTGTCTCCACCTTCTGGAACTCCATTCCACAGTCCCTCCACCTCGCTCCTTCCCTTGCCACCTTCAAGACCCATCTCAGGACCCTCCTCTTCGACCGTGCTTTCGATCTCCCTGCTTCCCCCCCCAGCCCTCCACCCTCCCCGACCCCAACTCCCAGCTCGGGTCCAAAACTCTGTCCAGCACTTTGAGACGCCCTCCCCATGTGAAAGGCGCTGTACAAATGTAATTTTGTTGTTGTATATTCTGTGAAGTGCTTTGAGATGTCTTGGTGATGGTTCAGGATTGACATCATGGCCCTCATTGAAACCTGGATCATCTCAGGCGACACCTCCCCCTTCACTGAGGCCACACCACCTGGCTATAACCCCACCTTACACCACATCCCAACTGCCATGGCAGTGGTGTGGCCCCCATATCCAAGAGAGAGAAGAGGAAGTGTAGAGACGTATGATTTTCATTTCACTATGATAATAACCAGAGGACACAGATTTAAGATTGGAAAACGACCCAGACGGGAGGCAAAGAGTAATGTTTTTACTCAAAGAATTGTTACGGTCTGGAATGCACTGCCTGAAGTGTGGTGGAAGCAGATTCGCTAGTAGCTCTAAAAAGGGAATTAGATAGGTACTTAAAAAGGAAAAAAATTGCTGGGCTATGGTGTAAGAGCAGGGTAGTGGGACTCGTTGGTAGCTTTTCCAAAGAGCCGACATAGGTACGATGGGCTGAATGACCTCCTTCTGTGCTGTAAAATTCTATGATTATATGAGTGATGAATAAATGGCTCTCAAAAGGTTTCAGATATTCCATGGCTCCAATGTTGTACTCAAACTCCAATGTTGGAAAAGATGGAAACCATCCTCCTTGACACCCACCAATTTGCTTGGATACTGGGTCCCACTTCCGCAGCCTCTCTATCGAACTCATCAAATTGAGGGCTTTGGTTCAGCCCTCAATTCTCTTTCCTCTCTCAGATCTGGTCCCTGGCAAAGACTTGGTGGAATCTTCACCACATCATTCCCTCATTCCCTCCTCACCTCGTTCAAAAATGATTTAGTAATGTTCAGCACTTTGGGATGTCCTCTCACCATGAAAGATACTAATAATATATAAATTCCGAATGCATTATATCGCCTACTGCTGCGCAAATTCCATTCATGTCTTGGTCACTTCCTGCCTGGAGATTATAAATGCCCTCCTCGCAATCTTCCCATCTGCACTATTCACACATAACACCTAATCCCAAACTCCAATCCCTGCAGCCTCAAATACATGTCACCAGCTCAAGATCCTCACTCTCACTTAAAAATCTCTTCAAGCCATGGCACCTCCCTACTTCTGTATTCTCTCCAGCCTCACTCTCCTGCTCACTCCTCTGCTCAGCAAATGCAGGTCTACCTCATGTTCTCATTCCCAGTGTCGTTCAACCTCCTACACCACCACCTTCTGGAACACTCACCCTCAAATGCAGTGCCTCAGTCTGTCTTCAAATCCATCCTAGATATCTGCCTCTTTACACTTAGGTTACACGAGGCTGTTAGACCTTGCTAAATATTACATATTACAATCTTTTGTCAGCCTGGCTAAGTTAGTAGCACTTTCTTCTCTGAATTACAAATGCTCAAGCCCTGGGTGGAATCTTTGAACACGGTCGAGGTTGACACTCCATTGCAGTCCTGGAGGACTACTGGAAGTGTCATTCTTGGGATGAGAAGTTTTAACAGGATCCCATCTGCCTGTTCAGAAGAACATTAAAAATCCAATCAGCTATTCGAAAACAGAAGAGAGTTCCTCTCGTGGCTAGGTTTTCCTGGCCAACAACTCCCCAGATAAATTTGGCCATTCACTTCATGACTGTTTGTGGGATGAGAATGTTCTCCCAACTTGAAAGGCGCTCTATCAAACGTTAGAATTATTCTTATAAACACATGTGGTTTCATTTGATGTTTCTGGCAGTAAACTGTAGTGACTGTGTATTTGTACACAAACACAGCAGCCAATTTGCATTCCGCAATGTACCACAAAGTCGTGCAGTAATTAACTGATTTTATTTGGAGTGAGTGTTGGCCAAGAAGCCAGAGAAACTCCCTTCTCTTTTCTTTTCTCTTTGCTGTGCGGATCATTGATGCCGAACTGAACAGGGAGACAGGATCAGCACCCCGGCAATGCAGCATTCCCCCAGCAGGTGATATGTGTCCCCTAACTATAAACCAGACAATGTCCTGAAGTTGGGCTTGAACCCACAATATCCTGACTCAGGCGAGAGTGCTACCAATTGAACCAGGATGAAGCATTGAAGATCTTAAAATCGTGGACAAAGTGAACATGAAGATCTGTATAACATAGTCAGCAACTCTACGATAGGCAGACACTGATTCAGAGAAATGATGAACAGACAGTTTCCAATTAATTACTGCAACCAGAGAGTGGTGAATGTGCTGACTGCATTGCCCAAACAACAACAACAACAACAACAAGATTCCATTTATAAAGCGCCTTTCACGCCAGGAGGACGTCCCAAGGCGCTGCACAGTTGGGTCATGACCCGAGCAGGGGGAAATGGTCAGGGTGATGGGAGGGAAGGGAGGGAGCGAGGAGGGGGGAATGGTCAGGGTGAGGGAGGGAAGGGAGGGAGCGAGGAGGGGAAGAGAGTCGAGAGGGGAGCTGAAGGCACGGTCAAAGAGAAAGGTTTTGAGACCGGCCTTGAAGGAGGAAAGGG